AAAAAGAAAAAAGACTTCGGAGACGGCAGTCAGCGCCGATAGATTACCCCGAAAAAGAGCTGATGTTAACGGACCTCAACGAATTTAAATATCTCGAATATCTTTTAATCGCAATTTGTTGAGTCAACTCAGAAGCTGTCATTGATACAGGGTCCATCCCGGAATCCAACAAGAAATTGTAGAAATCCTGTAATAACAAGAATCGAAAGAAGAAGAAGAAAAAATGATTTTTTTAGAGTATTTTTTTGATTAAAAAAATCCGGGATTGAGGTAAATAATTTTTAATTTTAATTTTTATTACCACTGAATTGCTATTGGAACTGATCACTTCTTCCAGCCTACTCCATGTATCGGTCGCCTCTACAAAATTCCCCGCCTCGAGTTCTTCACTTATTTGTTTCGCCAAACTGTTTTTTTTTTTCGAAAATGAATTCATTAGCAAACAATATAATTAATTTTATTTTATTTTTCATAATGTAAGAAAATGAACTAAAAACACGAGACCTGTTTGATTGCACCAGGCCATTCTTGTCCAGTCTCGACACATCTTTTAGGAGCGGACCCCACGAAAACTACACAATCAACGAAAAACAGCTACTAATAATTTTTTTTTTATTTTTTCGTCATTTAAAAAAATTCACAATCGAAAAAAAGTTCGTACCACGAAATCTTCGGGCGAAATCCAAGTGTCCCCCAACGCAATTCCTGTATTTATAAAAAAAAATCCCAATATTCAAGATTCAATTTTTATTTTCTTGGTTCACACATTGTAGTGAAATCTTGAAATTACATAAATACCTCCGAGCTTGAGCTTGAGCTTCCCGGATTCAATAGCTTTGAGAGCAGATAAACCGAGGGTAACAGCGTACTTTCCACCGTAAGACTCGGCTACTATATAAAGAGGGCTGTTTTGAAGGGTAACATTTCGGTTGAAAACATGAATCAAAAGTGTAGTTAAATCAGTTGCAGCTTCATCATCTGTTTTCACCAATACCTTTTCATCCTCCACAAAACTATACCCTGTCCCTACTGGATTATCCTACACCAAAATACATACATAGTATAAATATATATATATATATATATATTTGAATAATTATATATAGGGTAAATTACGGTCAGCCTCTGAGGTAAGGTCGAATTACGAAAATACCCTTCATGTTTGGGTAATTACAACCATCACCCTTCAACTATGAATCTTCTTGCACGTCCACCCATATAGTGTCAGATTCAATAGAATCTTCTAGATTCCGTGGAATATTCCTCTGGTTTGTACTCGTTTTGTGCAAAAATGCAGTATTTTGATGCACCGCAGTATATGATATTTACAAGCAAAGAGACACATCTTATGATCATCTTTGTTTCAACATGTGGAGCACAAATGAGGTAAAACGGGTACAAACTGGAGAATATCCACATAATCTAGAAGATTTCACTAAATTTGACACTGCAAGTTCGGACGTGTAAAAAGATTCATAGATGAGGTTGGTGATTGTAATTACCCAAACATGAGGGGTATTTTCATAATTTGACTTACCTCAACAGGTGACAGTAATTTATCTTATAATATATAAATAAAAAAGGAAAAAGAATATTAAGAAAAAGAGATATTTGGATAAAATGAAAATCTCACCACAAACAAGAGATCTGCTTTGTTAAGCCAAGTAGAGTTTCTTGGCTTCAAGAATGTGTCTATTGGCCCAACTTCTTCAAAATTCCCAATCCCAACTCCAGAAGCACCCTTTCACAAATTCCCAAAAATTCAATTTTAATTATTTATATATATATATTCAATATTTAAAATAAAAAATAAATAATAATCATTAAAATAATCAAGAAAAAGAATGACTGACAGGTCCACCCTGCAACCAAAGTATGATCGGCCATGGCTTTTTTGGATCTTCAGTTCTGTATGGACTTTTGTAATACCACCAAAACATATGTGCTTCTGTTTATACATATACATATATATATATATATATATATACACATATACATACAAAAAAAAACACAATAATTATAAATATATATATATATATAATATGTGAAATTGAAAAAAAAAGAAAAAAAAAACTTACTGGGCCTGACTTCAACATAACCCCAAGCTTCTGATCCATCCTCTGTTCTTGCAGCGTTGACCATTAAACCTCCATTAATCAATTGTATGAACAACACAACACACAGAAGAACAGAATACACAACGTCGGATTTTCCCATTTACAACTACACACAAAAAAATATATATATATATATATATGAGCAGTAATATAATGGGGAAGGTAAAAGTGTAATATATATATATATGTATGTATATATGTGTGTGTGTGTGTGTAATGGAGGTGTTCTTGGAGTTCTTGTTTCTGACTCCAACAGAAACAACCAAAAAATACGGCAGCTTTGATTTTACAAAAAAGAAAAATAAAAGTGATAAGAATTTTGACTTTACAGATGATGTATCTTTGATTTTTCAGTCCAAGAAAATATATAGATATTATATATATAAATGTGTGTGTGTGTATATATATATATATATATTTAATTGGTTTGAGATCTGTCCAGTTGTTGCACTGATTTATAGTGATCGCAATCATTAAAATAGTACATGTGTTGTCTGTGAGGGTTTAAACTTTAATGTTGTTTATGTTTATATTAGGGTTTTCTTAATTATTAAATTAAATAGTTTAAACAAGGCATGTTGCTTTATTCCTAAATATAAATTTCTTTGTCGGTTTTTTTTTGGTTGCTAAAATTATTATTAAATGAAAAGTACTAATATCATTTGTTACAATAACTCCTAGTTGCACTATAATCCGAATGATATTTGCTTAATTTTAATATTATTACATTAAATTTTGTGAATTTCGAGCCAATTGCATATTTGGATCTTATGTTTCTTTAACGGTTTATTTGATGCTACACTCTGTGAAATACAACGATTGATTATTAACCGTTGATTTGCACATATCACATAAACAGTTGATTGAAATAAAAGGGATGAAGTCAAGGTTTTCAGTTTCATTAATTAAATTTATTTTAAGCAATTCTTAGTTATTGATTGTTGATATTAAAGTAAACGATCAATTTTCCTTGTGTGGACTAATTTAAATTTAAGGGTTAACTGCAAAAAATCCCCTAAACTTTGGATGTTTTTGCGCTTTACCCCCTGAACGGAAAAAAGTTGCACGGGCATACCTGAACTTCACTTTTCTTAGCACCGGCATCCAAAATGTCTATTTTTGGCCAAAATTGACCGGAATCCAAATCACGTGCCTTACACGTGGGGGTAAATTAGTCATTTCCATTCTACACCCATTCTCTTCCTTTTTTTTTAATAAATATAAATAAATCTTAAAAGGGAAAAAAAAAATTCTTCTTCCGCCACCATCATCTCCAACCATTCTTCTCGTCAACCCCAGCCCCAACAAAGCTGCTCTTCAACAACTTCAGCCCTCACCCGCCGCTGCTTCATCTCCCTCCGCCGCCTCTGCTGCGCCGCCCTCCGCCGCTTTGCTTCGCAACTCGAAAGCACATCACACCAGAACATCATATTAATCAATCTTTCTCTCTCCCGAAAAAAGCACCAAATACAGGATTGTATTGTTGATTAAGCTTTGATTCCAAAAACTCAAATTTCTCGACGGAATTAAACTATGATTCAAAGAAGAAAAAGAAATTGGTTTGGGCTGAAATTGATGCACCGTCGCCAGAGGTTCAATGGTGGAAGGTTCATCCTTTGCTACCGTGTCATATTTCCACCAAATTGGGTTCTTCCACCGCTGGAATTCGCCGTCGTAGCCATCCGTTGATTGATTGCGGCAAAGAACGAGCCACCAGCCGGCGGTCAAATTTTGAGACCGGAGCACCGGGCGAAACCCCCCAATTTCTTTGTCTTGTGATGGTGAATGAGGAATGGATTGAAATTGGTTTGGTGGTGGTGGTGCGGCGGCGGATAAGAGGTTGTGGTGGCCGGTGGGTGGTGTTTGATTTGTAGAGGTATAGTTGTCTGATTTGTGTGTGGAGGTGGCCGGGTTGAAGACGATGGATGTGCTGGTGCAGCAATATTCTATTTTTTCTTTTTATTTTTTCTTTTCTTCTTTCTTTCATATTTCTTTTTAGTTTTTTTCATTTTATTTATATTTATTAAAAAGAAAATGAAGAAAATGGGAGTAAAAAGGAAAAGACTAATTTACCCAACTATATTCACGTGTGAGGCACGTGATTTGAATTTCGGTAAATTTGAGCTGCCGGTGCTAAGAAAAGTGAAGTTCAGGTATGCACGTGCAACTTTTTTCCGTTCAGGGGGTAAAGCGCAAAAACGTCCAAAGTTTAGGGGATTTTTTGCAGTTAACCCTAAATTTAATGATGATTAATCATTCAATGTCCAAATATTACAAGAAAATATTAATATAATTTATTTTCAAATAAAGTGAATAAGAGCAAGAAGTTTTGAGTGTTAATCTTTTTTTCATTATAGGGAAAGTTTTGAGTATTAATTTAACTACATTTTATTGCTCATTTTATGCAATATATAAAATATTGGGGGTGTATAAGCAATATTTTATAATTATAGGTTATTATGGTGGGGCAAAAGTTAATAGGAAGATTTTTGTGGCAGTAGGTAGTCTTATCTTTTTTGCTGTTAAGAAAAGGACTTGAATCAAGAAAGTCTTTTTCATCTCCCCTTTTGTCCCAATTATTTTTTTTAGGTGGAGTGTTTAGTTTTATTTTCTTTCTTATGAAAATATATTAGAGGCTACTCATTAGGAAAAAAGAAAGGGATATTAATCTTCTATTATCAATTAGAGAATATTGATTATGAACTCTTAATTATAGATAATAATTCGGGGTTGTAATGTTCGCTCGAGATAAGCATCGGGATAACATTATCGTTGAATGTGATTCGAGTGTGGTTATCGAGGAGGGAATCGAGCAGCTCACGAAGTAGGTCGTCTTTAATTTAAGGATAAATTACAGCCATCCCTGAGGTATTGTTAAATTACAAAAACTCCATTTTGTTTGAATAATTACATCTACCCCTCAACTATAAATCTTTTTAGACATCCACCTTTATGGTCTCAAATTCAACATAATTGTCTAGATTTCGTGGAATGTTCTCTAGTTTGTACTCGTTTTGTGTAAAATGCAGTTTATGATGCACCACAATCTGAAATATACAACCAAAAAAACACATTTTATGATCATCTTGCTTCAAAATGTGGAGTTCGAATTGGATAAAACGGGTACAAAAGTGATAATATTCCATATAACCAAGAAGATTCTATTAAATTTGAAACATCAAGGGTGGACGTTTCCGAAAATTATAAGTTGAGGGGTTGTTGTAACTACCAAAACATGAGGAAATTTTCGTAATTTTACCATAACGATGGGCTTTGAGTCTTTGACCCATTTTAGAATGCATTACATAAGACACAGTGTAGTGGGCCCGAAATTTATGGGCCGCTCATATAGTACATACTCTAAATACTTAGTTAATGTTTTGGCTAACGGGCCTCACAATTAGTGCTTGCATTGGTGATGGGCCTGATTAAATGGTGATACTATTAATTTTTGTTCGACTTCGAATGTGGTCTCCTTTTTTTTTTCTTTTTTTTTTTTTACATACCTATTTTTTTGCTCGTCATGAAACATTGTTTTTTTTTTCCATCGGTGTTAGCACTCTAACGCTGAAGTCAGAACACCTAAAAAATTCAAAGATCGGTATGGTGTAATAATCATCCTACCGTAAGGTTTATGAACCCTCTATTTATAGTAGAGATCTGCGGATATGATCGCGTTTATTCACTTCGATTAATTGGGTCAATTCAAATCCAAGATATCTCTGCAAACCTTAGTTCCTAAGTTACAGATTATTCTTTACGAGTATTAAATGCTTGTCATAGCTAGAGAATCATCAAATGACACCGTAACTCGTCATCTTCTTCGACTTACCCAAATTATTATATGCTTACAGGAAATCTTAGGTTACTCGGGACAATTTTGAGCGCATCTCTCCCATGGGCCTAGTTCTATTGAGTTTGGTTTTGTTGGGTCGTACTAAATCAGGCCCGATCAATAATTACATTTTGTTTTATAATTTATGAGTATTATTAGCAGTATGAATATCTGCGCAATAAACAAAAAACGATAAATGTTTTGCCATTTTTGGTACGGCCAAAGTACCAATTTTCATTATTTGGCAGGTAAATGAACAATCTTGTACTGTTAAATAGCTGTCAACTTTTAATTATGACATAATCAACCTAAATTTGCATGTACAATGAATAAACGGTGCAAGTTTAAATAGATAAACTAATTAGTTTTTTCTTTCTTCTTTCAAAATAATAATAAAAAATAAAAAATAAATTTCCAAAATTAATTTTTACCGCCATCCTTATCTCTCCAAATTATCATACTTACCATCTTTCTCAATACCCTGAAAACACACACACACACACACGCGCGTGCGAAATGAGCCTACATATATATACAAGTATTATATATATATTGTGTGTTGCTGCCTACACAGTACACACACACACACACACGCACACACAATCACGGGTAAATTTTAGCAGCTCGGATATATTAAAAGCAGAGATGAACCCTATTTTAATCTGCAGAAGACTCCTCCAGTCATCCGACGTGGACTCCTCCGACGGCATTGATCCGTACACGTCAATCACCGCCGCCGTTCGACGCCCCTTCGACACCACCGCCCCCTTTAACTCCTCCATGGCGTTAACGATCCTCGTCCTCCTCACCGTCCTCTTCTTCATCTTCTTCTTCTCCATCTACATCCGCCGCTTCGCCGCCGATGACCCCCCTCCCCCTCCCCCTCCCCTCTCGTGCGGCAACCGCAAGGGCGGCCTCGACGCCACCGCCGTCGATTCCCTCCCCCTCGTCGCCTACGGCGGCGCCGCCGCGGATCGCCCGATGATCGACGACTGCCCGATTTGCCTGAGCGAGTTCCGTGAGAGGGAGGCGGTTAAGTTGATCCCTTACTGCGGTCACGTGTTCCACCCGGGGTGCATTGACACGTGGCTGGCGTCGCACGTGACCTGCCCCCTGTGTCGGTCTGCCCAGCTCTTTAAGAGCGTTGAGGAGTTGTGTTTGGATGTGACGGGCGACCGTGTGATTGGTGAGAGATCTACGGTGGAGGGAGATGACACGTGTACGATCGATGGAGCGGCGGCGACGTGTACATGCCCTCATTCGTGTAATCGGACGGTGTTAGAGAGAGGCACAAGTATTTGACGGTTGTAGTTAATTAGTTTATGTTTTTAATTGTTTTTTGTCTTTTTAAAGAAAAAAATAATTACCTCTTTCGACCAATTAATCGACGATTTTCCGATTACAAAATCATAAATTTAATTTTGACGAATGTCTTCACTAGTATAAGCTAATTCACAAGAATTGCACCCCATCAAAATTGAAAATTTATTTACGTAATTGTGATCGATGGTGGAATAAGAGAATGTGATTGTTAAACGTCTCATTCCGATTATTTAACCGCCCGAATACCCTTTGATTTTCTTTTTTAATTTTCGGTCACGATAATGTGGTCGTTATAAAAGTTTCGATTATGAATAAATATTTTTCGTTAAATTCCAAAAATGTATTTCAATTTTCTCAAAATTTTAATACAACCCGAATAAATTTAAAATTTAGAATACTTTGATCCAATTTAAATTGTAAAATTAATTCCAAAATTTATTTTCCTGAAAGTTGCACTTATAATATATATATTATTATATATTTTCTACTATAAGAGAAAAATAATTTACGATAAATTAAAATTTTGGATTAAGTTTTTTAATACGATTTCCACAATAAATTTTTATTTAAATAAAAATAATAAAAAAAGAAAGAGAAGGTCCTAGTGAAATTGTTATTGTATATACAACAAAAACAATAAAAATTTTATTGTATATGTCATTTCAACCTAGTGAAATCGTCTTTATATTTCCTTATTTAATTGACCATTATGCCCTTATAAAGAAAATAGAGTATAACACATGCAAGCTATCAAATAGGTCGCAATTTACACTTTTCATGATTTATGACGTCACCAAAAGTGCTGATTCCTACTTATCAAAAGTTTTGTTCTTCAACTAAATCAAATCAATTCTTCTAATCCTATTTATAATACTTATTCATACAATTTACTTCACATATTAAGGACAGGTTAGAATAATTTTTTTTTTAATGATTAGCGAGTGCAAATCACGTGCCGGAGACATGATTAGACTCGAGCCGAAAGGACAAGTCAAACATAACGACCCAAAATATACTTTATTTAGTCAACAAGGATTGCCAAACCTAAATTTTAAAAGAATTAAATTATTGACACTTCACCAAAACTTTTGTTCACACGTCTCGATGTATATAAATTACTATAATATTGTTTTAATATTTAACAAGTTTCAAAATAAAGTATTCTTTATATATATATATATATATATATGAACAGAAATATATGAACAGAAACTTAGATATTTCTACATCTTACACAAAACATTTATGAGATAAAGAAATATATGTATAAATATCATTAAATATAATGAATAGTTTATCATGAATCAATCTTTGTAATTGTACAATTTACACACAAAAAGAAAGAACCAATCAGAAGCTTCATCTTCATCAAGCCATGTCAATTTAATTATATATATTATATATATTTATATTTTTTCTATTTCAAGAACTCCTTTTTATTCACAACAAAAAGCCATCACTAATAATCAACGACTTTCCCAGTCAGATACATCATTAATTTGGTAAACCCTTTCTTTCTCCGGCGTTGAGAAAATACGCAAAATTCGCAAACGGAATTTAATCCGATTTCGACGTTGTTAAATCAGAGTCGCTGGCTGTATGAGAATAAAACACATTCATTCAGATAAAACGTTGCCGTAAGAAATATTTATATATATAATAGGGGTTAAATTACCTGGAACGAACTCCATGGAAAAAAAAACTTTGTTATTTACTATATATGCTTTCTTTATTTGTTCTTCGTTCTTTTTTACTGGATAAAATAAGCTCGGACGACCTCAACTACTGGGGCATGGCACATCGGACACTTCCCTGCACCCTCGACCAATTTTTCCGCACACTTGGAACATGCGCACATGTGTCCACATCTGCAACATATTCCCAAACGAGGCCTCAGTTTTTTTTTTTTTTTTTTTTTAATAATAATAATTCGTATTCAATGGAACATTGTTTACCTGTACAACAAAGAATCGATGTTGTCATGGCAACATAGGCAGCAAATTCCTCTTCTTACATAATCCCATTTAGATTCATCGAAGGGCGTATTGTCTGAAGCATCTGAATATGAGAGTACCATTTGTCATAATCGGGGAGAATATTTCCTCTTTACATAAACGGGGAGAAAAAAGAAAAAGAAAAATCAGAATTATTCTATTATATTATTTGAAAAAAAAAACTTGCCTATTGTTGAAATTGGGCGGTTTAGAGCTGCAGAAACTTCTTGCTGAACCGATCGCTGCAGCTCTATTTGCATGTCGATGCATTGTTCGAGTATAGATTGCATATTGTCCATCCTCTGTTGGAGCCTAGCCATGTCAAGTCTCAATTGATTCACTACCTCCCATTCCTAACATACACATCACCACAAAGAGACGGTGATAATTAATTTCAGAGCAAGCTCCACGAAATTATTTTCGACAATTGAAAAAATCAAAGATGCGATATATAGCTAAAATTTTATTTAAAGAAAAAAAGAATGGAATTTTAAGCCCAGAAGTAGTAAGGAAGAAATATGTAACATATTTAAAAGAAGACAATATTCAAGATTCAAGATGTAAGATTACAAAAACAAAGTTGATTCTCACACTCAACACGAAACGTAGGTTGAAGGATTTACCATTCCCAACTGCTGGTTAGAGGAGATGCGTGGCAAATTTGCACCCTCATACTCATCCCAAAATGGGTGGGACCCACCGACAATGTTAGAAGTAGGAGCAAATGAATGACCATTTTGCCCTTGGTCTTGCTCAACTAAGCTATCATGAGAAGATGACGTGTCACCAGAAGCACGACCTTGCCTTTCCACACGAGATTGCAGCACCTGGTCTAGACTTTCACGGAAACCACTTCGAAGAAGACTCGACACACGTCCCCTGTTTTTTTAAAAAGAACAAAAACTTTGATAAACAATTATTTACTATTTTTTTTTAATCAATTTTGGTATGGAAAATCTGTCTAAAACGAGATTGCATACCTGCTGAAAAGCTCCCTAATTTCAGAACCGTGAGCACCATCTTCATCTGGGAAATAAAATGCGGGACCCGTGATTGATGATGCACCAGCTTCTCCAGAAGGCAACTCTAGCCAACTATTAATAGCCTCTTGCAAATCGTCATGTTGTGATTCTTCAATATCATTAACTGAGTTTTGTTGGAACTCGTCCACTTGTGCTGAGTCGACTTGACGATCAAATCGTTCGTCTATGTTCCGGTCCACGTCAGCAATATGAACTGAAATTACTTCATCAGTATCCTCAGTTTCTAATGTTGTCGATTCACTGGTAATAACGGCATTTATTATCTCATCTTCAACATGTGTGGATGATGACTCTTGCTGGGTTAGCTCACTGTCCGAAACTCGCTCGTCTCTGTTTTGAGCAATTCCAACATCAAGAGAGACATCTTGCCCATTGTCATCATTATCAAGAGACACTTGTTGCTCGTTTTCCTCGTGAGAAACTGGATCATCCACTTGAGTGACTTGTATTACATCATTTTCCAAGTCCGATGATGTCAGAATCCCAGCTGTCTCTATTTCATTGCACGTATAATCTAATTCACCGTTGCTTACATCAACAACTGAGGAGTCGGATTCGGCAGTGTTGGCTGAAGTGGAAGCAGAGTTATCCAATTTCGAGAGGAATCCTTCCCTGTATTTCCCATATCAGTGGCATTAGTTTGGCAATAAAAATAAGAATAAAATGAGTATAGGCCAAGAATTTAAAGGTACCTATAATTCACTTCTGTACGAGGCAAAATTCAACTAAAGCTAAAAAAAGATCACTAAGGCCGACTTTCGTCTCCGCTCGACGGGTGGGGTCGTTTTAACAAATGAAGTATGGGCTTCTTTACAATAAAATATGAGAAAAAGTGTCACTGTCATGTATTTTAGCTTAATATTAGGAGTTTATTGCATTTAGTACCCCTGTGTTATACCACATTGCTAAAATACTCCTCGTGTTATAAATATTAGCAAAAAGAACGATGCATTTTTTTAGCAAAGAACCCCGTAAATGCTGCGTTTTAGGGGGGCAGTTTGCGAAAAAAATGAATCATAGGGGGATTTTGGTAATATTTAGAAGACGAGGAGTTTTTTTTAACAATCAGAGTAAAGACAGGGGTGCTAAATGCAATAAACCCGAATATTAGAGATGAAGATGAAGCATTTACGGTTCAGATATATACTGTGATCCTCACACATTAGCACTAAAAACCCGTTAGCCAACGATGGAGACGAACTGTCTTAAGGATATTCATGACTAATCGGCTAAACAGATATTTCTTATTCTGTAACAGAACACAAACAATGTATCAAGAACTCAACAAGCTACCTAGCAAGTCAGAAATAGAAAAATCAGTCAATTAAAGAAGTTAATAAAACTCGATTACAAACTCAAATTCTAAGTAAGAAAGTAATTAAGGAGTATAAAAAACTTATCAGTTAGTAAATGATTGCCATTGCCCTACTTAAACCAATAAAAATGATTATACGAGCAAACTATATGTACGTGTTGGGAGGAAAGAAAATGTAAATCATATAGCTAAAAATCACCTGAGGCCAGAAACTGTATGCCTTCGCCTTAGTAAACCTAGTTCCGTTGAAGCCACAGAAGATGGTCCCTTCTCCGGCATCACTCTTTCGTTTCTCAAAAACCTGCCTCTTAACAATGCCTGCAAACCATTATGAATAGTCAATGTGGTATACGATGCTAAAGACAAGAATCCCAATATAGACATCTTTCACAAGAAATTACATGCAATTCTTTGATTAATATAATATTTTGGTTCGTGTAAGAGATAGAGAGAAAACAATCGAAATAAAGTTAGCTTCCTATGCAACATTAAAATAACATATGTAAGGAATTAGAGAAATATAGTTACCTGAATGCGATTCCGATGGGCAAAATCCGACACAGGCCTCTGCTCCAACAAACATTGAATTTCTCCATTCCTCTCACACTGAAACTTCATGAGAAGATCAAGAAGTGACTGTCGACCACACAATCTTCTAATGGGCCTTCTTCGTAAACCAATATCAGAATGAGCGATAACGGGCCCATCGTCACAGGCCCGTTTGATTTGCGGGCCTTCGCGGTTGTTTGGAATGATCCGATTATGATTAGAGGGAAAATGACCTTTCGCATCGCTGTTGATGTTCCATTCTCGGAAAATTTGCCTAACTCTTTCCCGTTCGATTTCTCCCAAATCGCTGGATGATTGTTCGGACATGATACTGTTGTTATCCGAATAATCCATTTCTGAACCAGTTTCATCGGCATTTCCAGGCGCATAATGCTCATTATCACTCCTTTGTCCTAACGACATGGAAATACTTAAGCCTTGAGAATCAGAGCCATTTCTTGATCTATGAGAAACATTGTCACCCTCGATCTCACGCCACACTTGCAAGAGAGAGGGCGGCTGTGAGTTTGGTCTACTTGCTTCGTCACCCCACTGCCTCGAAACTGGAGATTGAGATTCTCCAAACAAAGAAGGACCGAAAGAAGATATATTATGCAACCCCGCGATCGCCATTCTTCAAAAGAACTTTTATTATTACACTAAACACGAAACATTATTTATGAATAGATGCTCATAAACCGTCTTTGCCACAGTTACTGGAACTCGAAAGTCAATACACACATCAAACAGTTCCCCTGCAAAGATCTCGAAATTTTTATTACATAGTTATTGTTGAACAATTCTAGTACAAAAACAGTCAAATGATTCATCTTAGATTGTTGTGTAAATGTGAAGATGCTTACAAAATTAAAGAATTAAAAAAGAAAAAAAGGGGAAAAAAGGGTAGTGACTTGCAGATCCATCTTGTACCTGACCAATGACAACTCACCCAAAAAAGGAAAAGGAGGAGCAAAAGCAACAGCCAAAATTCAAATTCCTGACACATTCAAATTCGAAACCAAGAAAGGAATCCAATCCAATCCAATCCAATCCAAATTAGGTTTTAAGGAAAACTAATCAATTCCATCAAAATAGTTTCCTATTTCCAGAAGAACCCATTCAAATTTCAAACATGAACGGAGATCACTCACACACAGATAAAACCCTAGAAAATTTCATAGATTGTAATAGCAATTTCAGACTGTAATAGCAACAGTAATCATCAAATAAATCAAATAAGATAATCTGATAAATTGACCCAAAAAAAGAGAGAGAGATAGAGAGAGAGAGAGAGAGAGAGATATATCCAATAGTACCTTCTCTGCAACTACTATGAAGCAAACTTCTTCGCATTTAATGCATTAATTTATTCAGAGAGAGAGAGGGAGAATCGGTTACAGAGAAAATTCAGAGTGAGAGAGAAGACGAGGTGGGATTTATTTATTTATTTATGAACAGTGAATAAGAGGAGAGAGAGAGAGAGAGGTAACATAACAGCAACGTCAGCGGCACCGTTTAATTTATGACTCACACACAAACCCTCGGAGATTTTGCCGTAACTTTAACGTCTATTTTTTTCGTGATCCCGTAAATTAAGATTATCTGACGAATGAGTATTCGCCACGTGTTGACAGTCTTCCTTTTAGTTGAAATTGCGAAATCGTCCCTCAATTTTACCGTATTTCACAATTAGAAGTAAGAACTAAGAAGAGTAGTACATTGTGGACCGTCTGGCGTGTGTGGCTGATAAGATTATATGACGAATGAGAATTAGTCACGTGTTGATGGCCTTCTTTTTTATTGAAATTGCGAAATCGCCCCCCAATTTTATCGTATTTCATAATAAGAGGCAAGAACTAAGAAGAGTGGTGCAGTGTGGACCGTGTGGCTGTGGTAGGTAAATGTTTATTTCATTTATTTTATGATTTTTTTTTTATCTTTTTTTTGTTTTTGCTAATGTATGGTATTTGTGGACCCTTGAAAATTCTTTTTGGAAATTAGTTGATTGTTGGATTGCAAGACAAATATAGATTTTTTTCCTACTTAATCGTGACAGTCCTTTTCACAATTTTATTATCAAATTCAATATTTAATTTTTACAATATCTAATATCAAATTCAATATTTACGAAAAAAACCCTTATTTTTCCAAACTGCATTTATCCCTTGCAATTTGTAGATTTATTAGATTAACATCATTTTATAAAGAGTGGATGTAAGATATTTATATATTATAGGGGACTAGATGTAATTTCTTCAAAAGAAAGGGTTTTCTCGTAATTGCATTTTATCTCAGGGATGTGGTTGAAATTTACTCTATTTTTTTATTAGAAATAAGCAAAATCACACACCCACGTGGCTACAAATGGAATGACAAGAATAATAGTGGTGAATTATTACATGAGACCCACCTTTTATCTTGCCGATTCCCCTATTATGCACCTATCAAGTATTTATTTTCTAACATTTTGTTTTCTAATGCATACTAAAAAGGACAAATTACGATCAGCCCCCAAGATAAGTTTAAATTACGAAAAAACGTCTTATATTTGGATAATTACAACCACCCCTCAACTATGCATTGTCTTACTAAAAACCCATCTTTCGGTAGGTAAATTTGACACCATAAGGGTAGATGTATAAAATAATACATAGTTGAGGGAGTGGTTGTAATTATCCAAACATGAAGGATTTTTTCATAATTTGAGCATCACTCCGGGATAGCTATACTTTACCCTATTTTTTACAATTAAATAAATAAAGAACATATTTCTCATACATATATTATTGATTAGTCATTTATGCCCTTTCTTCTTGTGTTTTTCTCCTTCAAATTTCCAGGATTAGTGGCAAAGGGACTTCGTTTCCATCTGGAGAATGGTCTATTTTCAGGAATTCATGTTTAACCACTCCACTTTCCAAAAGTGTATTTTTTATTTATTTATTTTATTTTATTTATGTTCATGGACATCATGTAGAGGGTTTTTCATTTCACAATTTGAAATTTCAAAAATATTTCGTCAATTGAAAAAAATCAAATATATATAGTATTCCCTAAGTTAGTTAAACCTACTAACATAGCACATCTTAATTTCATATAAAAAAATCATTAAAAAAATTTCTCAAGTTTATATAGTCTACATAAAGAAACATAACAAATCCAAGACATGTTGAAAATTTAACACATGAAATAGTGGTTCTATGAGATATGCTACACCTGGTGAAAAACATCGGGTGATCGATTTTGCACCATGGATTTATACAAATAATCACACATTAAGCACAAATACACATGTATGTATTTTATGACGCATAGATTAATAGTCCATAATCACCTGTTATATTTCATCGAGTATAGCATCTATAAAACCTGAAGTAGCTGACAAGAACGTTCATCCAATGAGAAAACGACAGCTAATATTTATATCATGCACGAAATTAAGGAAATAGTGATAAAAAAAAAATTAATAATGCCCTAATGATGAAATAATGCATTTTTAGGATGGTGCTTTTAAACAAACCTTAAAAATATGAGAAAAGAGTGTATAATCTAAAGACATGCACTTTGTTTTTAGTATTATGAATTGATGATGACGATTAGCAAGAATTAATGATGGGTTTGACTGCAGCAGCACAGCTTGTTAATTAAGTGATCTAATTATTGTTTAAGTGATCTAATAATTGTTTAAGTGTTATTTGGCATTGTTCCTCATAAACCAACATTAATACTTTTGTTGTTATCAAATCTAATGTTAAAAAGCCGCCGGATTAGCGAGTCACTTTTATCTTGTCGGCGAAAAGTGCATACACCTTGTCACATTTTATAATTTTCTATTTTATCAACATTATTTTATCATTTATTATATTAAAATATTATTCATAAATTAATCTTCTATAATGAAAATCGAATGTTCATATGTATTACGAGACTTGATAAATGCAGGACACTTATGCAATGTTTGAAAGCGTTTTGAAACTTATTTTGATTTCATTTTGAGAAAATATATTTTGGGGCAAGAATTTGAGAATGAAAGTAATGTTTGTTTATATTTTGGAAGGAGATAAAATACACTGTAAGAGTCAAATCATGTTTAAAGGTGTTAGAAAAAGTATTTTAGAAGAAAAAAATTAAAAGATGAAGTGATGTTTATCTGTTTTTTTAGCGAAGACATATTTTACTGTAGCAGTCTGTTGATTTTAAATGTCTATGGATATCTACTCATCTGTTGAGACAGACTACGTGTTACGACATTAGGTGTGGTAACCGAATTCTTGTGTTGTCACAGTAATAAATCTACTAGAAGCAGAATAAATAACACAAGAATTTAATGTGGTTCGGATACCAATGTACCCTACATCCACCAGGACTTGCAAAACTAGTTCAGATTTAAGTGAACATTAATAGGACTTAATAAAACACTAAAGACTTCCTCTTTATGTGATACGCTGTTCTTGCACACGACTCGAACTTGTTGATAATCAAAGCAATTCCTCCTCCGCACTCTTGGACTTACTCCAATGTTGAACTTCCTTCAAACGGCGGATCGACCCGAGATCTTTTAAGCACTTCTCCCGAAACGCCGATCTTCTTTATGGCCCGGTAGAAGAAACCTGTTCTGTTGCCACACCTGTCGTGCAGACAGGGCTGCAGCACGGGCTGCACCCTTCAAAGCCTTTATGCTGGGATTTTTCTTATTAAAGCTCCATCGGACTCATATGAGGTTGAGGGCCTTATATAGGCACGAAATCTCCACCATAAACCTAACTTGAGCCCTAAGAAATCGATTAACTAGGTAATAGAATCCTAGTCGATTTCTAGTTCTATTCTAGATAAGTACAAAAGATATCTAACTAGAATATAATACATGGAAATAAATCTAAGTCCTAATAAAAATATTACAAAAATAGGACTTTAATTGATTCCAAAATAAACAAGGAAAACAAATCTTTGCCAATCTTTAATATCCACGTATGGCGGATTTCTTCAATCTTCACTAACAGAAATATGGTGCCAACACAGTCAAATCATTTTACTGTAGGAGTCACATCATGTCTGAATAGAGAAACTTTTGAAATTGTTTTGAGAAAATGATTTAAAAAGTTTAATAAATTCCATTTTGTGTGTGGGAAATCAATGAAAACAAAATAGAAATGGTTCCAAACATTGCCTAAAAGTAAGATATTTTATTTGATAAGTTTATCAAATTTTGAGCATAATTAAGACCTGCCTCCGCTCACATACAATCGTTTTTATGGATTTGCGAAGCTTTCCTGGATTGAATTTTCCAACATTTTTTGTGTTTTTAATCGACAAAAATCACCCCAAAAACCCTTCATCGCAAGCCATCGATATATATATATATATATATATATATATATATATATATATATATATATATATATATATATATAATTGGTGACCCATTATTATAGATCTTGACTATATATGGGAAGACACATGTTGATGTTAGTGGAAAATGGGGCTCAAATGTGTTCAATTGTTCCTAGGACAAAAGCATAAGTTCATCAACTATATATTATTGCACTCTTACAAAATATCATCTCTATAATTTTCCTTATCTCTTTACATCTCCTTTTTTGTAATAATTTAGCCTATAAAAATAATATATATGTATATATATATCATTGAACAAAAAGTAAAAAGATTGCAGTTGGGCAGTCAATGCTAGCCCAAATAACGTGGACCACTTTTTCTTTAGTAAAACCAATTGCCAATTGGCCCATTACTACTTCAAGCAAAATTGGCCCAAATTCATTATTACCTTATTTCTAGTTGAAGAGCACTGCAACATATTTCTCGTGACCAAATTAATTATTCAAAATAGCAACATTTTTGAAAATGCATAAAATTAATTATTTCAACCGTAAAAGCAAAAACTCTATCATTTATCCAGCTTGTATTATTTATTAGATAAGTAGGGCGACCCTCACGCAATATCGAGCTTCAAACTATGTTATAAATAAATAAAAAAATTGTTTCGATTAAAAATTGTTACTTAAATAAATCAGCTCTCGATATTAATTATTTTCTCTTTGGCCATGTTGTTTTTTCCCCCAATTTTCGGATCAATTCACATGCATAAAAAAAGGGTTTTGGGGGCAGAATTTACAACAATTTCACTTCCATCTTCCCAGCTGTTGGCTCTTTAAAGGATGAAATATAAAGCTTTGTTGAACCATATAAGGCATTACATAACCATAAGCACCTTTCTTTCTATGTTTTTTTTCCTATATCCAAAAGAGAAAAATAATGATAAATGATAGAGCAATATCTGCACCTTCAAGACTTCCTTCCAAGTTTAACTTCTTCGTTTGTTAGAAAGTATGTCTGGCGCTGTATTTGGACAGTAAGGACGAACTAATCGACCGGAAAAAGAAAAAAACAAGAAAGAAGCAGAGAATTCGAAAAATGAATGTATTAATGATATTTAAATCGTTGTGATTGTATTTATCTTGTCCACCTTACACCCGTGTATTTAGTTTTACATAGTTGTACTAAAGATAGTTATTTCCGATCTTTAGCACATTTGATTTGCTTTACATTTTTTGTTAAATATTCTCCTGCCACATATAATTACAATTATCTAGATGAAACACATCTTTTAGGTCTTCTTTTCCAACGACTTTCATTCAGCTCATCTATATGTCATTGATCGTCTTTGACATGTTTGGATGGGTTGGTGCGCCTTTTAACCACATAACCTAGATGCGTTGTTTTAATGAGTTTGGCACCAACAAGCTTTCTTCGGGCGAGGTTCTAAAGATGCATTGTCATTCACATGTATTGGGTCAATGAACCTAATAAATCTCTTGCGGCCCGTTAAATTTATCTTTATACTATTTAATAAGCCCAATATGAAAGATTTGACCCAACCTTGCCAAACTGACCCATTAATTAAAAACAATTTAAACAAGCTCTAGATTTTGTGATAATTGCATAATTTGCACTCTTTTTTCATTATTTTTAATACTTTGATTTTTATTTATTTCTACAAAGTTTTATGAATTTTATTTGTTCTGGTATTGTTATATTAAAATTAAAACAAATTAAGAAAAAGTGAGTATGATGAGTTCATACACTTTTAGAATGTATCCGTTACACCTAAAGAAAAAAAAAAGAACAAAAATAATTTAAGAAGAAATTAGTTAATGAAAGGTGAAATTAAATTAGTTTATCAAAAGCGGGAAATATTCGAAATTTGAAATTTGAATTATATTTCCCCATTTAATTTAATATATATATATATTTCTTAAAAACAACCTTCTAGAAAGCAAAAGCCAGTCAGTCACTTTCGCCCTAAAATTCATACCCTTTCTCCCATCTCTGCACACCCATTCATTTTTCCTGCTTCCACTCTCTGTTTCTCTCTCTAAAGGTATATTTCTCACTCTAAAACACACACACACACTGCTTACTATTTTGGTTATTAATTTTTTTTTTTTTTGTGGTTGCAGACTGATTTAGGAATTCAATTAGCAGTGTTTTTTCCTCTGTGATTTTTTTTTTTAAATCTGAAGTGAAGGATGGGTCAGATCCAGTACTCGGAGAAATACTTTGATGATATCTATGAATATAGGTGATTTTAATTTTATTCCGATTTTTCGTATGTTTATTTCAAAATATGAAGATCAATTTTGTTGATGAGACTCGTTTGTTTCGATTTTTTGTTTTACAGACACGTTGTTCTTCCAACAGAGGTGGCCAAATTGCTTCCGAAGAATCGCCTTCTCTCAGAAGTGAGTTGATACTTTTCAATTTTCCATAATTAACGCCTTGATTTTCTTAATCTGATTATTCAATGGTGTCATTTTGGTGGCATTAATTCGAATGAATTAGGGTTTTTACCGTTTGTTTGGATTGAAATTTGTGAAAGAAAAATACCGGAGTGTTTTTGTTTGCTCAATTGGAATTGGACTAGGGTTTGCTGTTTTGTCACTGAATTTGGTGAATGAATGGGAAATTATCGCCTCTAGGCATCGGAAACTAATTTTAGACTATGGTTCATTAAAATCGATTTGCGGATATTTTCTGTGTTTTAGATCGCATACATAGCAATTTTGCTTATTCAATTTACTAAATCCAATAAAAGGTGTTTTGTCAAATTGTAGTGATCATTTTACTTTGTAGTTTGATTTTATGGAGAATTCTTGATAATTGTTCTTACAGCTTGCTCTATTCTCGATTTTTTAACTTGATTTATCGTATCTCTATGGATTTATTGCTAATATTTTAAATGTAATTGTGATTTATATTTTTTTCGTGTTAGAATGAATGGCGTGCAATTGGAGTTCAGCAGAGCAGAGGGTGGGTACACTATGCAATTCACCGTCCAGAGCCACACATCATGCTCTTTAGGAGGTCGCTGAATTATCAGCAGCAGCAAGATAACCAAGCTCAGTAAAACATTATTCTGTGGGAAAAGGTTTTACTCTCGTTTCATTGGGAAATGTACTTACTATTATTATTATACTATATTATACCTTGCTGTTTAGGAAACTCGGGTTTTTATCAACGTGATGTTGAAAGCTTTGGATTAATGTTACGGTGTGGAATTTCAATGTTGGAGTTTTGTTTTCTGACAGATTGAATGTGGTTTTAGCTTCGGGAATGTATTTTTACTTACGTTCCGGATGTTTAATTAAATGTCCTTAATAGACATGCTATTTGTTTTATCGTATTTAATTTTATATTGAATATCTCGAAGATATTATTGCAGATAAATTGTGTAGGGTTTGTATTGCAGCAAATGTTTGTGGTCCATTTTCTGATTCTTGCAGCAAATGTTTGTGGTGAAATGCGATTATCCAATAGGTGATTGCAATTTCTTAGGTTCGTTAGCAATAGTTGTGTCGTCTCGTTTTGTGTTCAGTTGTTTTGTCGTCTTGTAAGCAATAGTTATGTCGTCTTGTTAGTCTATGATCGATTTTAAGTAAAATGGAAATGGACATATACACGTGCACGTAGGGGTGGAAATTGGTATGAAAATTTTAGAACTTGGAACATCATTTTTCACTCGAAAAGTTTTGATTCCGATTTGTTTGATATTTTTCTTAATGGAATTAGAGATACATTAGATTCCAATTTTCAATCAGATTTTAATTTCTGGAAATTCCGATTATTCACCAAAAATTACAATTATAATGTAAATAATTATTGTTATGCTCGGAATCATTTAAATTCGACTCAATATCAACTTAAAATACTACAAATAATCCATTCACTTAAAAATCATTTTATAGCTAAGTTTAGAAGCCTTTGGTGCTCGAAAATATTAGATTTCTACAGAAAAATTGCCTATACATTAGGAGTTTTATCGTTTTAATGTCATTGAATCTTCTATATAAATATCTTACCCTCTTCGAAAGATCAATTTATAAAAATAAATAAATAAAATTAAATGTGTCCAAAAACCAATATATAGTACACATAAATTCTTATAATCGTCAAAAATCAAAGTTTAATATGCGCATGAACTTTCGACTTGTTGAAATATTCACTTATAAATGACGATAAAAGCTTACACGCGTCGAAAGATCAAGTTATATTGTACGGATAAGTAAAAATCTTAAACACGTCCAAAACCAACTTATAATAGACATATCGAATCTAGACAAAATTTACAGTCGACAGTCGTCAATTGGTCAACTTTATAATAGGCGGCTAAAATTATACATGCGTCGAAGAGATCAAGTTATATTGTACGGATAACTAAAAAACTTAAATGCATCGAAAAAACAACTTATAACGGATAAAATTTAGATAAAATTTACAGTACACTATATAAGCAAATAATTTTTTTACGCGCGTCGAAATATCAAATTGTATTGCACGGATAAATAAAAATCTAACACGGATCGAAAACGAAACTTATAATATTCGAATAAAATCTTACAATAAATCGAAAAAGACCACCAGTCCAATGATCAATATTCTAATACAACAACATAGAAATTCATAAATAAATTAAAATAGTACTTATTTATTTAATAATTAAATTATTTGTTGCTATTAAATCCCTCAGATTTGAACATTTTACAGTACAAGTCAAGTTTTTGTGCATGTAAGGCAGCTTCTTCAATGGCAATCTCCTTCCACCTGTTATCCAAACCCTTAACAATGTCCTTCCCCAAAGCCTTCAATCCTTCCTTGTACAAATTCATTGTTCCCCTAAATACCCCTGAAACCGCATTCATCAGATATGGGTAGTCGTTCCAGTTTATCTCCTCTTCTCCGCCGCCGCCGCCGCCGGCCGCGTTGCCCCAGATCTTGTTGCCGATCTCGTAGATTCTCCGATGGTGCGGGGTTTTGATGAAGGATTCGGATCGGGCGAATTTGTAGTAGTTCTGCCTCAGCCTTCTGGTCTTGTTGGCGATCTGCGACTCGGTGAATTGGCGGCGGAAGGGGTAGGCCCGCGGCGGCGCGGCGGCGGCGGTTGGTGCGAGTGATTCCAGTAGGTCGATTTCGTCCTTTTCGGTGAAGAAGCTGAAGGCGGAGGGTGCTGGTTTGGGTCGGGAGGCTGATTTGGAAGGGGTGGTGCTGCTGTTGCGGCGGCTCATGGCGGCGGTGGTGTGTTGTGTTGGGTTGACTCGGGAGCGGTGTGTTGTGTTGACTCGGGAGTGGTGTTTTTCAGTGGGAGTGGGGTTTGGGTTATTTATATAGTGGGGGTAACGCACTGGTTAGGTAATCGTTGCCCTTGTCAGGCTGTGCTGGAATTTTGACTTTTTATTTATTTATTTTTTGATTTTTTTAATTTACTTCTTTTAGGGATAATCTTAAAAATTAATACATATGTACGAAATATTGTAATTCTTGCACGAAAGAATGATTATTTAATTAAATATTTTTGTAGACCAATATACAAGTACCTAATGCAACTTTTATTTAGTTATAGAAGTGTTTTAGACAAATGTTGCTCAATAACTATTTACACATTATTTAGAGACAATCAAAAGCAAAAATTGTACCGCAAATTACGGACCCTGTGGTAATAGTCAAATTACGAAAAAAAATTCATAACCTAAGATTATAACTATTTATTTTCTAATTACTTTTGCTCTTATACTTTATACATATTACAGAAATTATCATTGGGCTTTAGGTAACTAAATTCAGACAACTTTCAAAATTACCAACATATCTTTGACGTATTATGAATCCTCATTGAGATTTACTTTCATTTATCGATATCTCATCGATCCGAATTCAAGATACTATCCAACATAAAGGTCCACTAAGGCATGATCCAATTCGCCAGACTTAATAAGAAAGTCTACCTCTACCCTACAATGCGAGATGCATTCATGCACGTGCTGAGCTCCGAGGTCGGCACTCTGACGTGCATTTAGTGTTCTAGCACGGGCATTTAATGCATGTATGCTCGACGCAGTAAAAAAACAGGAATAACTATAACTTAACTCCGTACTACGAAGATTTACTTAACGGCGTGATGCACTGGCATTACATGTAGTAATTAGTGAAACTAATGATGATGGCTAGCTCGATTATCATGGGACGAGCGGCGAGTTAACAAGGACCAATTGATTTTGGAGAAGCATTTGGAATCCGCTCGAGGTAAGTTTAAATAGGAGTCCTAAAAAAAAGAAAATAATTTAAATCGGCCCAAAGATATGTTAAACAAATCTCTATTTAATTTGAAAGGCCCAATTTAATAATTTAAATTGTCTTTCTAATTTCAGGTTCTTCACAGAACCCCGTTAACAGCTATTCACAGCTTCACGTCGCCGGCGGTGAAGTAAACGGCGGTGACGACGAACCCTTCAAGCTGTAATTTCACCGTTTAATCCTTTCATTTATTTATTTCCGGCATTTATTTATCTCTGCTTTTTATTCATTGTTTACTGTTGCTTTTTATTACTTCACATTCAAATAATTTCTCTCTAATTGCAATTGATTCATGTATTAATCGTTAGTCCTTTGTGATCTATTACTTACGCATAAATCTTCTTCCTTAATTTCATTGCTCATGTGATTGCGATTGATGGTAATTGTTATTTGGGGATTTAGGGCATAATTCTGTGACTTGTTTACCATAAAATTGAGTGAACTTTTTTTTTTTTTTTTTTTTTTTTATTTTTTTATTTGGGGGTTTAGGGCACAAATTCTGTTTTTGAAAGAACAAAAGATTAGATTTGGTGACACCGAAAATCTGGAACTAGGTTATGTGTTTGTGAAAGAACTGTTTTTGCTGTTTCAATATATTCATTTCAAATTTAATTGCTTCAGTTGATTTAGGATTGAGATGAGTGATATTGAATCCAGAAAATTTCTTTACGGAGTGCAATTTTTTGGTTTTCGAGTTTATTCACAACAATTTTCTTGTAAATTTTGATCGGCTCCTTCTCTGCAGTTATTTTTAATAACGTGGTATAATTTGTATTGCTCTTCGAAGTATTTACGATCATTGAATAGTGGCATAAAAAAATCTGCTATTCGCAGGCGTGAAAAAGGCAAAGTGCATCTATTGTTTGTTATCTGTGGTTACTGCTTCAGAAATCTATATTTCAATTTAAAACATGTCGATATTGTTAATCGATTATTAATTGTGTGATTATTATTTGTTCCTCCGTTTCAGATTATTTGTTGATCCATTTGATCCCATATTAATGTCCCGCAAGAGGAATATCGTTGTTGCTGCAGGCTTACTAGCGTTTGCATCTGCTGGATTAGCATTCCCGTTTTACATGGCGTAGGTGAACTCGTTAAAAAATGGCTAATTTTTAATTATCTTGTTTAATTGCGCGTGATTCGCTTTAAATGATGATGTCAGCTGTTAATCATCGGTTGTAATCCAGGACCAAATCATCGAAGACTCCAGTGATTGATTCATCAAAACCGCTGCCACCTCAAGCTACTTTTCGAGGGCCTTATGTTAACACCGGTTCACGTGATGTGGGACCGGACGCTCGAATTTATCCCAAGAAATAAGTTTTTTTCTTTCAGTTTGGTGCAAACTACTTTTGTGTGTATGTATTTAAATAGTTTATAAAATTAGCTTCGATTTTTAAGAGAAATCTCGGGTATTTTGCTGATTATTTTTTCAAGGAGGAACTGGTGTTGTGATAAGAGAAATATTTGGGATAATTACAGTGTTGGTCCTTATATTATACACCCTTTTCGATTTTGGTCCTTCAACTTTTTCATATTTGCTAATGGTTCGTTTGATTGATGGGCTTCGATTTTGGGCTTTAATTTGAACTTTTCTTTAATGGGCCGAAGTCAATAACACAAGCAGTTAGTTGATTCAAATTTGGATTTGAGTTTTAAGATATTGATTTAATACAACATTGGTGAAAAAAATGACTTACTTCCAAATCTTTTTGTCTAATTTTAATTCCGAATTAGTGAAAAAGATGTTAATTTACAAATATGTATTATGTTATCTTTGTATTGAAAGAATCAATGGTACTGAATTCGTAGTAAATGATTAAAACCAACAAGTGGAATAAACTATCCACTACATTCAAATAATCATCGAAGATATTCGATTAATGGTTCATTACAAAGAGATTCGGGACTCGAAGATTTATACAAGCAATAATATGTCATTAACTAGAATAGCAAATATGTTGAGATTCTTGAAAGCTCAAATTTGTAAGAACAATTACTATTTTCGGATTTTTCAATTTTTGTAAAAGGAAAAATATTTGATTAAATTCATTAATATCAATTCATTTCCACTATTTATAGGGGCTTCGTTTGTTCTCATTCTTGCATCACAATTCAATACTACTTCAAAAAAAAAAAAAAAACAATGTCTAGATTTTACTCTCTTATGTTGGTTTTGGGCCTCCTGGCTCTTGTTACACCTTCTCTCGCTCGTAGTTTAGACAAAGATTCGTCTTCTGATATCACTTTGACTGAAAATGATGAAATTTTCGAAGACGAAGAAATGTGGAATTTAGTCTCTTCTGAAAATGATCAAGCTCCACCACCTCACGGCCACCATGGCCACCACCACCACCATCACGCACATGCTCCTCACCATCACCACCACCACCACGCACATGCTCCTCACCACCACCACCACCACCACCACCACGAAGCACATGCTCCCCACCACCACCACCACCATGGCCACCACGCGCATGCTC